GTAGCGGTATCGTCATCGGCGCCACCTCTGTATTCTCTCCACCGTGCCGCTTACTGAATGCCAGGGTTACTCTACTTTTTATTACATGAAAATGCGCTAAGTGGAACTAGAGCAACTTGCACGATTTTCAGCACCAGCTTTTTTGATGGAGTAATATTACGTTCAAATTGGCCCCATTTAACTTGTTGAATGAAAAAGCTTTTTGTAAAACACAATCGTCCACATTGAACATTTCGAGTTAACTTTGACGGTTGATTTTAAATAAATGGCGTGTAGGGTTAGAACTACGGCAAGCTTAAATCGGACTAAATTACATGAAAAAACGTAGCAGAAAATAATGTTCCGTATAGTTTTTTTATAGACCGCTCGTTTATTGGAGAACGTCATAATCCAAAGATCCTTAGAGCAAGCAAACACATACACACCCTTTACAATTGACGAATTGAACTGTCGAGCAATCAACTGTTTTGAGCATTTCTGCCTGAAAAGTGTTTCATTTATGATCTGAGTTGCTCTAACCAAAATGTATTCAACAAAGTGTGATTGAATTTGGCATTGCTCTCAGAAGAACCATCCTATAGTCAAATTGAAAAAATTTTTGTATGAATTTTGAATCGAATGTTTATATTTTTTGGCATAATAGTACCTGAAAAGAGAGCTTACCTGAGTTGTCAATCACACCTTGTTTAATACACCTTGACTCTAACTTGCTCTATTGTTTTTTTGGCAGCTGCTGTATTCTGCACTTTCTTCGGTTTCGTTAAACACAACTATTATTAGTTGCGTTCCTAACTTTTCTGGGTTAAAACCTGTAAAACTCTCAAAAGGCAAAAGAAGCCAGGGAATCGAGTACGGGAACGCTTACTGGTAAATTCCTGTAAATTTATGCAACTTCTTGCGAGTAAGGAACCGCAACTATTCCTCTTTGCTTTCTTCATATTCGCTGTCATTTGATTTTTCAGCTGGCGTGAAATTTGGTATGTTTTCCAATAATTCCGAGTTATTCCTAAATATAGTTAAAGTTTCTAATTATTAATGTCTAATATACCAAGTTTGCTGCATAATTAAATGCAGCGCATACAATTTGAGGCCCACCGTGAAGTAGTATTTCACCAATAGTGTTTATTTAACTAAATCTGTAATCTCTTTCCATAAAACCGTGCCCGAGGCTTTAAACAAGTAACTATAAGGTGGAAATTTGAAATTTTCTTTACAGTTTTCTTTGTGTTTTCAATTCGAGTCCGGCGCTTCCCCAAAAGTTAATTTTTCCTGCCCCAGAACAACGACACCAATTCGCTTTTGTGGACACTGCCTTCCACACACACACGTAAGTTAAACTAATACAAGTGGCTTTAAATAAACAAACTAACAAGTGAAACTTTTTCTTTGCAGGTTTCCTTGTGCTGCATTTTTCCAGCTTCGTAGGGGCGGATCTTTTGCATCTGTGGACACTACGTTCCAAGTAAGGGTTAGAACATAGTGGAGCGGCGAGCAAACAGCACCGAGCGTCGATTTCAAACCCATATGTTTCAATGGGAAAACGCATAGTGAAGAGCAAAGCGTACATACACGTTTGTAATTGAAGCTTCCCAGCAAACAATTAGGTTTGATAAATATACATTTGAGAATGATTTTAAATCAAAGCCTTTCTCAAATGTCAAACGTTTGAAAATGATTTGATATTGATTTGAAAATTACAGCTTTCTCAATAAAAAGGGGAGTTTGATCTCCATTTGAGAATATGGTTAACTCTCAAATCAATTTCAGAGGTTATTTATCAATTGTACTTCAAATATGGAAATAGAGTTTATTATAGGAAATGTATATGTCATATTTATATTTCGCGATGTACATATCGTCGTTTAAAGTACAAAACCGCGTATCGTCATTCTGCAAAACCGCGTAACTGACATTGGCTGTCAAAAATTGGATTTGCTCACACAAGCTGTTGGCTCAATTCTTATCCATTCGTCTTGAAATATACTTGCCAGAAATGCGATTTCTCTATAAAAAAGTGAACCATTTTGAAATATGAGTGTTTTTACTGTCTATAAAATAATTTATACAACCTCACATACGCGGTTTTGCATTTTCCTGATACGCAGTTTTGCATTTTGTTGATACGCGGTTTTGTACTTTAAACGACGACATGTATGTACATAACAAAAGAAACAATTAAGATAAAGTAATTTATAAAAAATTCGTCTTGAAGAGCTGCAACTTCTTCAATCCGCGCAAACATTAGTTGCGTTCCAAAAGCTTCACGATTTGCAGGTTTTTACAGGAAGTCGTTCCAGGTGACCATCTCCCATAAGGTTTATTAATGGAGAAAACAGCTGTTCCTGGAAATCGTGAATTTCGTGAATATCGTGAAGCATCTGGAACGCAACTATTAAATCCACTATTTGTGGGCTTTCTCTTTGAATTTTTTTTCTATTCATTTTTTTTTTCAATTGATCTTAATTTTATTCTTACAATTTTTGATTTGACTGCGCAATTTTATATCGTTTGACACTTGCCATCTTTATTCAAATCAACGTCAAATGAATTTCAAATGTAAAATTTAAACCTCGTTTTCAATTTGAGAATCATTTGAGAAAAACATTTGATATTAAATTGAGAAATACATTTTTCTCAAACGTTTGAGACTGTATTTGCTTGCTGGGTTTGCTCGATGCTAGCTCTTCGCTTTGCTCGCCGCTCCACTATGTTTTGACCCTTAAACTATGTTCACATATCAATATTATCTCAACCAAAGCTCGTTTTTTAATCACCCCGTTTACACAAGCAAATCTCAGATACTTAGCCGTCAAATTTGTTGTGCTTGTTATTCTCACATCTCAAGGAAAAGTTATGTTTCTTCTCTGTGCCACCGTGATCACGTTTTTCTGCTATAATAAGCAATATAAATATATTTTAACTTAACATTTTATTAAAAATACCTTCACAAACCTCGTTTACTTGCTGGCGTACATTTTTGTTTACTTTTACATTTGGCATTTCTCCTCTTTTTCGCAAAAACAATCGCCTCTCGCTCCCTTCCATTTCGTTTGGACAAAAATTACGTACGAAGAGATGTAGTAACAAAACAACTTATCACAACTAAAGCACAGAGAATTTTTCACAATTTTTTTTATTCTTAATGAAAAAAATTATACTAAATACATCAAAAAACAAAATTCAAGATATTCAATAAATTTGCATACAAATTTGCATACAAATTTGCAACTTTTTAATTAGGCTTTTTGTAAAAATTTTAAAAATTAAGTTTTGCAGCCCATTACGTTTTAGTTGATTGTTGGTATTGTTTTTACTGATTGTTTCTTCCATACAAACTATGTTCGACAATTCTTTTTATATGGAAGACACTGTCAGCAAAAAAATGGCTTAAAATCAACGAAATTTTCTGGCAACTTCAGACTTGCACTTTACTTTACAAAAGGTATATTTTCAAAGTTTTTTTAACAGGTCTGATTAGAAATTGTGGTTTGATGAAGAGTGTCCGAGCCAATAATTTTGTACGGCACTGTACTTATAAGCACTCTAGGTTTCATGAAAGAAAAAAAATTTGAGTACAAGATAACATTAAAATATCAGTAAAATTTTTCGTTGCTGTGGACTTGTTTCGAAACTTCTGACTTTTCCTTAATATAATTGTAAAACTCTGTGCACGTCATTTTTAACGTATTTAGGTACATATTGTGACGAATACTTTGACAACGCGAAGCGACCATCGAGAAATAGGCAGAATGTTCGAGGAATGACGTAGAATGTTCCACAAAGAGAAACGTCAAGTTGGATGAACACTGCGAACAGCGAGAGAAAGAGAATGAGCGATAAACTTCAGAACGTTCTAGAGTTGCCATAAGTACGAGCGCAGGTATATAAGGGCGCCGCCACAGCGATGTGAGTTAGATACAAGTCAGCTAGCTACAAGTAAAGTGAGCAGAGAAGTGAGTTGCGAATAAGCAAGCTATAAGTTTAATTGTGTTAACAATTATTGTAAAGTGTTTTTACTGTATTAGCAAGTATTGTAAATTGTTTGTTGTACAATAAAGTTAATTGTACTACAATTTGGTCATCGTTAGCATTTATTTAACAATCCAGCGATACGAGCCGGAGGATATATGGGAAATCCCTCAACAAGATGCAGCGAACAAAGGTGGCGCCGTCAGTGGTACCGCTACTTTGGTTTTGCCGATTTTGACAGTTGTGGTAACTTGTAAATAAACCTTTGTTTACAAATCAGCGAAAGAGAAATTTTAATTATAAGTGAAAACTAAGTTTAAATTGTGTTAATTTTCAATTTGCGAGTGATTTTTGAGTTGTGGACTGCGTAAAAACTAATACAACGAAGTGCTGTGTGTTAAATTGCGACAGCCGTCAAGATGCAAGAAGCGTAGATACAAGTGTAGCGCTGGGACGAATCGCTGCGTTTTGTGTACATAGGGCACGGCAAAGCCGTTTCCGAAATGTTTCTCTATTATCATATTACCAGCATTTCCTCACAATGATTTTGTTTCTGCTCCACGCAGCCTCCATTAGCAAGTTAACTAATCAATCCCGCAGAGATGCTGCTGTAGTTTTCTGCAGCAGCCTTAATTACAAAGCAATGGAGTGCACTAAAATGTTTACTGTTCTCTAATAGATTAGGTGAAAAATGCAATATTTTCATATTTAGCAAAATTAAAACCCGTTTTTCGCTGTAAAGTGAACTGCTTTGGAAGTTTCAACTCGCTCTTCTTTTCGCTCCATTCTTTGTTTACTTGTAGTACACAAATGTCAACGCCCAGGACGGCGCAATCTTGTATTCTATCATTCTTGATCCCTCAAGGTTTCGAGGATAATCGTTACAATTGGTTTCAGAAGTGGGATTGTTAAATAAATCCCGAAGGATAAACTTATGAAAATGGCAAAAATTCAGGACTTAAAGATTAAGGAACTCAAACAGGAGTTGGAGAAGTGAAATTTAGCAACCTCTGGAAGAAAAGTGGAGTTACTATCACGGCTGCGAGAGGCTATGGAAGCAGAAGGCATCGACGTGGACAAATACGACTTCCAGGGTAAACTTGACGATGCATCCGGAAAGGATGAACAGAAGGATGAGGCCGCTTGTTCGTCGAAGGATATGCAGCAGACATCCGGGAAGGTTGACGAACAGAAAAAGTCTCCAAGTTTATCAACAGCTATGGACGTGAACACGTTATTGGCTGCCATGTCACAGATGTCATCACAGCTGTCGTCACAGATGATGCAAGCACAGGATACACGCATGTCACAGATGTCATCACAGCTGTCGTCACAGATACAGGCGCTGGAGACACGTATATCTTCAGAGGTATCAGCGCAGGTGTCATCGCAGGTGTCATCCCGGTTAGAAACTCAGCTACAAGCACAGGAGGCACGCATATCATCACAGCTGGAAGCACAGGATGAAAAAATTACACAAATACAGGACAAACTTGAAGAGAGACAGGAGAAAGTCGAAGCAAAGGTAGAAGAGTTGGAAGGTCGCCTCCGAGATTTGCAGGTGAATCGTCCAGCTACTTCGACAAGTGCTCCCAAGGTAAAGACTCCATCCTTTGACGGCACGATTCCTTTCTAAGTCTTTAAGCTCCAGTTCGAGAAGACAGCTACAGCAAATCGTTAGAGCATGGAGGATAAATCCGCTGCTCTGTTCGTGGCATTAAAAGGATCTGCAGCGGAAATCTTGCAGACAATTCCTCACTGTGAAAGGAACAATTACGATGCATTAATGGGTGCAGTGGAAAGACGTTATGGTAGCGAGCACAGGAGACAAATTTACCAGATGGAGCTGGAGAATCGCAGCCAGAAATCCAACGAGACTCTACAGGAATTCGCCTCCGAGGTTGAAAGGTTGGCTCATTTGGCAATTGGAGATGCATCTGGTGAGCACCTCGAAAGAGTAAAAATCCAGAGGTTCATCAACGGAATACGGGACGTGTATACCAAGCGAGAGACGTACGCGAATCCCAAGCCAAAATTTGCTGAAACTGTCTCGTATGCTCAGACGCGTGAAACGGCGGCGCTCCTAAGTAGACCAGCCTACAAGCACAATGCGTGGAAGTGGAAACACCGGACGAGACAAATGCTGGGCGAGGAAAATCATGGCTCTGGCGAATGTTTTAAATGTGGAAAGCCAGGCCACTTCGCCCGCGATTGCAGCGCAAGTTCCTGTGGGCTCAACAATTCAGCAGGACGCAAACGCAGGACTGAAGGAGACGAAGCCAACTTCAATCAGTCGTTAAGCTGAAACGAGCCAGCAGGAAGGGCTGCGTGCTGGCTCCAGAAGTTGAAGGGCCCATAATCTCCGTCCCACAACTTGGCCGGAAAGCATGCAACCTCACTGTGTGTGGATGTGTCAATGGGCAGGAGAGAGTACTGAAAGTGGATACTGGAGCGACACATTCCATTATTCGACCGGATTTGGCCACTTTTTTTGTGAAGCCACTACCTGGAGCAAAGCTGCAGACTGCAACTGGTGAACGCACCCAAGTGTTAGGAGAAGTACCATGCGAGGTAATAATCGACGATGTGGCCTCGTACACTAAGTTTATAGTGGCAGACATTGTGAATGAAGTCATCATTGGCGTGGATTTCTTACTTGGCCAAGGCATGAAGATTGACCTCCAGAGAATGATCCTGACAGATCGTCACAGGAAAGTGGCACTTAGGGTTGGTTACGACAATCAGTGCTTCGGCAGCCGATTGGTCTTAGAGGAAGTGCCGAAGATTCCACCAGAAATGGAAGTGGTTAGTTGGGAAGAGGTTGACAGTGATGGAGACGAAATGGTTTCGTCAGGAGAAGGAAGTGGTTCACCGATACAGGAAAAGCGTGACGGTTCCACCAACGCAGTGAAGAAGAGATCGCAACAAGGAAGTGGTCATGGCGAGCCAGGCAGTGTTTCCGGCCGGAGGAAAGCCACTGAACCACGTTGCAATGGTGATACGCCGGTGGCCGGAAATGGAAGCGGCTGTTGTTGCAGTAGGCGCGCTGAAAAAGGTGGTCGGCAAAGGCGAGCAGTTAAGCCGGAAGCCAAGGGTGAGATTATAAATGTCCAGTCAATCAGGTTGACGCCGGCGAAAGAGCGAAATGCGGAAACACTGGGGAAAGTTTCAGCGTGAAGAACCGGATTTAGCAAGATGTGCTAAAGGCAGTGCAGCACGAAGGCAGGAGCCTGGGTGTCATGGACAGCGGATGCGGCATAGATCTGGCAAAAAGAGTGCCCACGAGAGGAGACATGGTCTGGTCACCACCAGTGGCCGGCAGAAGCACGACCATCTGAGATGGTGCACCACCGGTTATGAGCTGGAAGCAATGTCCAGTAACGCACCGAGCCGAGAGGAGCTACAGGAAGGCGATTTGGTGTTGTTGCACATGCCGCAGCCGAAGAAAGGCTTCACCTCCGAACAACATCGTAACTGGAAAGGTCCGTATAGGATTGACAAACGGCTGAGGGACGCAGTGCATCGAATCCAGACAGCTGGGAGACCGAGAACCAAGATGAAAGACTAGCAACGTTTGGAGCAGCAAGTGTGTCTGATCGGGACGATCAGACTTAGGTGGAGGGCAGTGTGCCGAATACTGCGGCAACGCGAAGCGAACAACGAGAAATGTTCGGGGAATGACGTAGAATGTTCCACAAAGGGAAACGTCAAGTTGGATGAACACTGCGAACAGCGAGAGAAACAGAATGAGAGATAAACTTCAGAACGTTCTAGAGTTGCCATAAGTACGAGCGCTGGTATATAAGGGCGCCACAGCGCCTGAAACTATACAAAAAAGCAAATAAGTAAATGGATGTATAGAATTGACAACAACAACCACGCTGTCGAGTTTAAATAGCGGCAAAGCAGATGCACTTGATAGTAGTTAGTTGGTTGAATAAGAAAAATGAATTAGCAACAAGAGTTTACGGGATGTACATAGCTCAGTGGTTAACGCTTCTGACTTTGAACATCGAATACGCAGGTTCGATCCCTGCTGAAGTCTAGAAAAAAGAAGTCTGATGAGGAGATGTGGTGATCTCCGAAATAGTGCTATAACTTCTACCGCTTAGACTTTGTTGCTTTTTCAATTTTTCCTAATAAACAATCGTGGTACAAAGCTCAATAAAAATATTAAAAAATATATATTTAAATTCCATGCTGCCTGTAATGGGATTTGAACCCTGACCCTCTGGAAATTAACAAATTGTGGCAAGTATCTTTGCACACTCATCTACAGCCAGACATGCAAATGTGCAATTAAATACTGAGTTTGAATCAACACCACGCGTGCGTGGTATTAAAGTGTTGTTTTTAAATACGAACATTTTAGAACGATAATCAAATAAAAATATTCATGTTTACTATGCGTTATTTCCCTCAGTGAATTCATAAAATTGTAGTTATTTTTGAACTTTTATTCAAATTTGTGCAATAAAATCGAAAACCGGGACATTTAAATGAAACCCGGGACATTTTAAGGTTGGACCGGGACAAATAGTCTAAAACCGGGACATGTCCGGGAAAACCGGGACGTCTGGCAGCTCTAACGTAAGGTAAACTAAAACAAGTGCCTTTAAATAAACAAACTAACAAGTGAAGAGATCTTTTGCATCTGTGGACATACACGTATAATCACAGCTTCTCCGATTACAGTGTTTTGTATGTAAGCAGTGTTGCCAGGTCTTCGGCATGAGAAAACGTCCCTCTTGGTCTGAGAAAACGTAGTTTCCTACCCAAAACCGTCTTATTCAAATGAATGTACAAAAAATTGTTCTTATTATACATTTATTGTACACAAAGGTACATATGTACGTAAGGTATATAAAAATGTCATTTTGAAAGAGCACATTTAAAATTCATTGTAAACTGGTTTGAGATTGTTAATATAAAAATCATCTTATACATACACTTGTCATCAGCTGATTAAGTCATCACCATTTTGATCGATTTCGTCTGTTTCTCTTTTGTTTATTTAATGTTTATTATTTTTCCATAAAAGCCAAGCTCATTATATA